ATTTCCACTTTGCACAGACCTCCTGCCTCCAGAAACATGCATTAGAAGATGTGGCTGTCCCAAAAACCATGTCAGCCTTGAGTGGTACAATCACACAAAACGTGTTTTTCTGTCAAGTGGTAGAAGTAAAGAAAAATGTTTCACACATCCTTTGGCTTCAGTTCATTTTGTGAAATAAATTACTTGGGGAATTGTCAGTGGACTATACCATTATGAGTTATGGGGGGGTCATTTCTCAGAATTTATTGTTCTGAGCATAAGCTTTCAGTACCTCATTGTGGTATCTAACACTCTATAGTTAAACTGACAGTAACTTTTCTCCTCAGTAAAAGGATCTGAACTCAGATGATGCAGCTAAATACCAAATGTGTCCAAGTACTGACTCATAATGCTGGTCCCACTCCTTTCTCCTCCTCAGGTCTGACAGCAGATGGAACGTCTGCTCTGCCGAGACTCTGACGTTCATCTCCACCTTGAAACACAGCATTTGGTTTTCCTCCAGTGTGTACAATCTGACCTATGAATTAAAGACATCCACAAAGAGGAGGCAGGTTCAGTGTCTGTAAATAGCATTCATTTCTGGTACCTAACTGGTGATTATACATGACTTATGCTAACATAGTTTTCTTGACCTATTCTGCAATATTAAAGAATCTACATAAAACACTATGACCCATATTTTGAGCACCTCACTATAACTGTGTAAAATGCTGGAAAATCCAATGAGCTCTACCCTGAACAGATATGCAAACATTTGTAACCTTATTTTTCTCCGAAGCCAACACCCAGTTGTTCCTGTTGTCCATTAATTTCAGCGCTGAGACATTGTTGTAGCTCAGGTACATCTGAAAATATAAAGCGTTACTTTGTATACAGTAGCATTATCGAGCTCTGAGTGTCTCTGTTAACAAAACAAAAATAAAATTAGATAAAAACTTAAACAAACAAACAAACACCTGGTTACTTGGATCCCAGGGAACAGACAAGGGCACTTCAGTTTGCTTGCAGGAGATGATATATTTCCTGTAAACATGAAGTACAGCAATGATGTACTGTAGCTCAGGGCACTACAGAAAGACCAAAAACACAAGCAATGACCCAACACATCATGTTATCAAACAGAGGAATAAAGATTGCACTGTTCAGACTTGAACAATGAACTCATTATGCCCGCTCGAGTCTGCAGTAAAGTCTGCTCAGCCGTGATGCATTGGTCTGCCAAGTCATTAGCGCCTGCAAACTCTCGTAAACAATGGATTCGGTCATATGACCAAAAAGTAAATCCAGTGATGAGACTGTTTCAGTTCCACTGCTTCATAATGCATCATGATTAACAACATGATTGCATACAAAAGGTTCAAAATGTAATTTAACTAATTTACTAAGGGAATAGATTTATTGGTTATTTATTTATTGCAAAGCATTAAATAGCCTAACCTGTACGCTGTCAACAAAACAATCTGCAATAAACAACAATCATTACTCTGACACATAAACAGAAAACAACCCTAATTGTTTTAAAAGGGAGCTGTTCTACTCTACTGTAGAAGGGCAGCTTTGCATTGTGCAAAAATCATTCGTAGTTATTCTGTGC